TGAAATTTCTCAGGTGCTCTTTGTCGTGGAAGTATCTTATTTCCCCATCTATTTTGAAAGAGAGTTTTGCAGGATACATAAGTCTAGGTTGGAGATTCTTTTCTTTTAGGACTTGGAATACCTCACTCCAGGCTCTCCTTGACCTAAGGGTTTGTGTTGAAAAGTCTGCTGTGATTCTAATGGGCTTTCCTTTGCATGTGATTTGTTTCTTTTCTCTTACTGCTTGTAGTATTTTGTTTTTCTGTTGGATTTCTGGAATCTTGATTATTATATGTCTAGGTGTAGATTTTTTTTTATCATGGCTAGTTGGGGTTCTATATGCCTCACTTATCTGTATTGTATTCTTTTAAAGTGCCAATAAACTAAATGAAAAAAAAGAAAGAAAAGTAAGCCCTTTTCCCTACTTGCTAGTGCCATAGAGCATATAAATGCAGAGACCCATGGATTTCTTCTCTTCTCCCAAAGTCATGGCCATGCTCCATCCTTGCCCCTAGGTTTGGCCATCAGAACATATCCTGGCAGAAGGTGAAAATACAGAGACATATAGAAAGTGCCGGGCTCTTTCTTCAAAAGACGCCTCTTACAAGTTCTTTAAATCCCTCTTCCTCATCCTATACACAGACATGATGGCTCTGGACACCATTTGAACCATGAAGCTAAGGACCACTACAGAGAAGGGAGATAGGTGAGACTCATTCCTAGAACAGAGCAGAGCTCTTGTGCCAGCCCTAAGCTGCCTGTCTCCAGAAATGTATGGGGTAGAATAAAAACCTTCTATTTCTTTCAGCCACTATTATTTAGGGCCTCTGTTACTCACAACAAAAATAACCTCAGGTGATACAGGCCCTTACCAACTTTTTAAACTTGAAATAGAGACTCACATTCTAAAGAGGCTAAGTGTGGCAGGCAGCACATGCCTATAATCCCTGCATTCTGGGAGACTGGGGCAGGAGGATTGCAAGTTTAAGTCTTGCCTGGGCAATTCAGTGAGACCCTGTTTCAAAATACAAAGAGCTGGGGAAGTAGCTCAGTATGAAGGCCCTGGGCTCAAAACTCAGAAACACAAAACAGAAATCCTAAACACACATCTTTTCAATGTGTTTTCAAACCACATTGAAAAACATTGGTAGGGGTCCATTGGTTTTCTCAATACTACGAAGTTTTGATAACACCTACCTTTCTCTGTAAATTGTAGGCGATAGATTTGTTTTCGATGACTGCATTGCTCTCCAGACGGACCAGCTGTTCTGTGCGAGCTAAAACTACATCCAGACGCATGTCAAAGCCAAGTTCAGCAGCCATCTGGTTCAGTTTCATTTTTTCTGAAAGCTGATCCAGAAACTTAAGATACTAAACCCAGGAACAAAATTGAAAACAGGACACAAACGTAGTTAGTGTGGAGCTCCTGAAATCTTCCTCCTTCTCCCAAGCTTACAGGTGGTTCCCTTTAAACCCAGCACGGAGCCTGGATGCTGGGCTCAGGCTTTGGTGATAAATTCCTGAACAACTCTAACCATTCCCTGCCCTGCTCCTTATCCAAATGTGCTAGCCCTCCAGCTCTGTGCCCTTAGTTTCAAACCAGTATGGTCCATTCTTCTCATCCCTGCCACAGGAAATTTGGCAACACTCCTGATTACATTCTCACCTCTGCTGTGGCAACAAAGTACTGCAGCCCTGCTGCTCTGAGGCTGACCCAGCACCAGGCATCTGCCCACCCATGCACCTTCCATGGGAGTTTTGCTCACCAACTAGACCCTGGCCTTGAAGGTAGAAACTGGCCACTCAGACAGTTACCACTTAACTCTTCCGGTACCATAGAGTCAAAAACAAAACAAAACTCTCCATACTCACAACATTTGAATAACTGTGAGGTTTTCTTAAGTTAAAATACTTTCAAAAAGTCTTTAAGGCATATACAAAATCATTAAGTTCTTTAGGAGGAGTCCCTGGCTTTGGACACTGAACTGGGAACTCCTCAGCCAAGCTCATTGGGAGCTTTCCCGCCATCTTCAGCCCCAGAGGGTCTTCTCGGCTGGGCCCACCCCTGCTGGTGCCGCTGCCTCCAAATTCAGCGCTAGAAAGGTAGCCGTCCGGACAACCCTGAACCCCCCCGCAAACCTTCCCCCTCGTGCTTTTAGACCTCCTGATTGTACCAGTCTTTGGACCTACTCTGTAGAGGCAGAGGTGGTCATAAAGAGTATTTTCTGGCACTTTCAATTTTGAACATCTTTAAAGAAGTGGTGGGGGAAACTTAACAGTAGAACTGAGTGGAGTTCAACCCTTTAGGAGGTTGGGAAACTCAGTCTGGGCCTTGCAGCCCAAGCTCAGTCTGTGTCGTGGGGTTCTGCCACTAGCTAGCTGAGATCAGGGGACACAGCTCTGCAAATGGCAGCACATGTTGTATATTATGACAGCAGTGATATAGTCTGAAAGAGGCCCTTTAAACTCATTTTTCTTTCTTTCTTTTTTTCATCCTACTCTGAAAATGCTTTTTTTTCTTTTTGTTTTCTTTCTCTAATTCAGTCTCTTACTCCACTATAGTATCCCTCATCTCTCTTTTTGTTTCTGCTCTTGTCCTAATTCAGATTTCTTCTTTTATTATTTTTTTTTCTCTTTTCTTTATGTTCTTTTCTTATGTTATTCTACCTCACTCAAGGGTTACTATATTTCTATTTTGTTTGTTCTTTTTTAATTTAACAATTTCTTGACAATGGTCTGGTCATTCTATGTCTTTCGGCTTCATATGAAACCTTCTCTAATTCTTATACTTATCTACTCCTCTTGTCTTAACTTTGTTTTAAGCCCCCATCATAAATGGTAAATATCCTTATTGAAAAGTTTATTTACTGTAAGCATATTTTGGATTGCTTCTTGATCTTAATTAAATTTACATGGCTTGAAGGTGATAGATTGATGACTACCATAAGTGGTCAATTTGCAAATTGTGCTTCATTATATTGTGGTGCTGATTGTATCAATTAGGATAAAGGATTGTGATTGATTCAATGAGCTGTTTTCTTCAGTATGATGAAAATGAGAATTCTATGAGTCATTAGAGACCCATGGGCTGCAGCCCAACTATATCAGGAAGATTTAAGTAATAATCTAAAGGTTAAACTAAGGATAATCCAACAACAATAGTAAAAATGAGAAAACGCTTAAGCAAGATACAGGGACAGACTTCCAGTTCACCAATGGCAAATAGTGGGGCAAATGAGGATGAAAAGTCTGATAGTGAATCATCAGGACACCCTGAACTCAAAGCACAGGAAGTAACAAAACTGATCAATCAGGCTCTAGAGAAATATAAAAACCAAAGTAATTTCCCAGATAATCATAAAGATCACAAGCAAAATGAAAGTTATAATTCCTGACTCTAGAACAGAAACTGAGAGGAAAATAGATGAGCTCAGGACCATAATAGAAGCCATGAATGCCCAGCATAAGAAAGAATTGGAAACAATAAATGCCCAATACAAGAAATAAATGGAACCCATAGGACAGATTCAAACAGATATCCAGGAGATTAAAAACTCCATTGAGAGGGTTCACAAAAGAATAAAAGAGTCCGAAGATAGAATCTCAGATATAGAAAATAAAATTGCAGTCAGTGACCGTGAAAAGAGAGGTCTCTTAAAAATAGTAGGAGATCATGAGAAATTGATACAACTACTCTTAGATGATACTAAGAAGAATAACATAAGATTGATAGGAATTCAAGAAGTAGTAGGAGAAAATGTAAATGACTTAAAAGATGTTCAC